TTCCCTAAATTTCTTTTTTTCTATTTTGTAGGATTATTATCTAGACATGCGGTAGCATTCCGCTTCAAGTATATATATAATCATGGTAATTAATTTTTAATAGTTTTCTTCAAGATTGACTTTCAACATGCGTGACGAAGAAATCTGATTTTTCCTCTTAATGAAATCAAAGACAATCATTTCGCTAGTATTTAATTTATAGTCCTTGGTAATTTTTCAACATTGCGATGATTTAACGACCGACGAATAACGTACACTAATAAATAATTCCAGATTATTTCTCTAACTGAAGCATGTGTCGTACTTGTGGGTTGTAGTGGTTCTCATGGCGTAGATCAAACGGGAGCAAGCACGTCTCAGAATACATCTCATGTTTGAATGCATAATACCGTGACCGAGATTCCGATTTCGGACCTTTTTAAAAGAAACTATTTTTTGTACGAATCGCAGAACAACGTTATGCGAGGTCTCGGCTGCATACCCTTGTTTGATAGATAAATCGCAGCTAAAAATCTAACACACATTTTAGATCAACATAAATTGTGCCGATGAGATTCAACCTTATAATAAACTCCATACGCATGCTCTCCACTGAGCAGCGCATACCGAAAGTATGCATTGTCGGAGCAGGTCCAGCAGGCTTTTACGCGGCTAAACAATTGCTGAAGGTACCAACATGTAATATAAATTGATATAGATTGACCTTTTTATTAGAAAAAAGAGTGTTACTTTAATTATGAGAGGAAGTTGCTCATATTATCTTACTTTTCTGAGATTCTTTTACTAATAACAGTATATTGTTTTTCTCAGTAATATTAAATAAATAAATATAAATATTCTATTTGAAAACATGACCATGATAATACGACGATAAATTCATCCTAAAATTAAAAATCTTTAGTACAGAGTATCAAATACGTATATATTAAACAAAACTATATAGAAATAACATTAATACAATATTATTATTTCACAGTTGAATGACGTGAAAGTCGACATACTGGAGAAACTACCGCTCCCCTTCGGTCTCGTGCGTTTCGGAGTTGCTCCGGATCATCCGGAAGTCAAGAACGTCATTAACACTTTTCACAAAACGGCTATTGATCCGCGCGTGCACTTCTTAGGCAATATTAACATCGGCGTAGATGTCAGCGTCCCTCAACTACGTGAACTTTATGATGCTGTGTTACTGGTATGTATGAGGGTTGATCCAGAAATAAGGTTCCCATCAATTTTACAAATAGACAATATTGTTTATTCTCATAGAAATTTACATCGTTGGAAAGATGAAACTTTGCTCTATTTTTCTACATAATCGCCATCTTTTTCTACGCATTTTTGTAGACAGTGCTCCAATTTCTGTATCCCAATGTCGTAGAACTCCGCCGCCAACCCGTTGAGGAACCGTTTCACCTCTTCTTTGACTTCATCGTCGCTCCGGAAGCGTTGACCACCCAAGTGTTCCTTTAACTTGGGGAACAAGTGGTAATCACTAGGCGCGAGGTCCGAACTGTAAGGTGGGTGGGGCATGACAATCCACCCTAAGTGTGTCAAAAGTTCCTGGGTTTGACGGGAGACGTGAGGTCGTGCGTTGTCGTGAAGCAGCGTTACACCGGCTGTCAGTCGTCCTCGCCGGCGGTTCTGGATAGCTCGCCTGAGTTTTCTCAGTGTTGCACAGAGCGACGATGAAGTCAAAGAAGAGATGAAACGCTTCCTCAACGGGTTGGCGGCGGAGTTCTACGACATTGGGATACAGAAATTGGAGCACCGTCTACAAAAATGCGTAGAAAAAGATAGCGATTATGTAGAAAAATAGAGCAAAGTTTCATCTTTCCAACGATGTAAATTTCTATGAGAGTAAACAATGTTGTCTATTTGTAAAATTGATGGGAACCTTATTTCTGGATCAACCCTCGTATATACAGCCCAGAATCATACTCTTATTTAATTGGTTAAGTTATACAATAAATATTTCCATTCTTATATTGATTAATTATAACGACAATAAATTACTTCATGTAGATAATTATCCTTTATATTTTATATTGTTATTTCAGACCTTCGGGGCCCAAGAAGACCAACTGCTCGGTATACCAGGTGAAAATTTGAAGAATGTTATGTCAGGCCGGCGTTTTGTTGGTTGGTACAATGGAGTACCAGCTGACAAGGATCTAAAAATAAATTTGGATACAGAGGAAGTAGTTGTCTTAGGTCAGGGTAATGTAGCCGTGGACATTACGAGGATTCTTTTAACGCCAATCGATAAACTTAAGGTGATTATTAATTGAGTTTTCAACAATTTCTAAGTTAATATTTAACTTTTTTTTATGTCTGTGCCGTGCGAATTTTATTAAGACGATATCGCATTCACAATTAAGATACGATTTTAACTGATTTTTTTTATTAAAGTTTTGTTTCGTTTTATTTCTTTTTTTTTTTTAGAATACCGATATCACGTCTTATGCATTAGAACAGTTATCTCAAAGCAGAGTACGAAAAGTCAGCATGATCGGACGAAGAGGACCGCTGCAGGTGGCGTTTACAATCGCGGAGCTGCGTGAGCTCATCAAACTGGAGAATATGAAGACTGTCTGGCGACCACAGGATTTCACGGGCGTACAGGAGATCGTGCCAACCTTGGCCAGACCACGGAAAAGACTGACAGAGCTTATGCTGAAATCTTTAGAAGAATCAAAGGTTGATTCGGCGCATACCAAAGAATTACACCCCATCTTTCTACGAAGTCCACTGGAATTTCTTGGTGCGGATCACGTGAAGAGCATCCGTCTGACCGTCAATTGTCTACAAGGGGACACGATGCAAAATCAGATGGCTAAGTCGACTGGCGAAATCGAGGAGATCGCATGTGGTTTAGCTGTACGTAGCATCGGCTATAAATCTTTGCGAATCGATAATTCGATTCCGTTCGACGTAAAGAAAGGACGTATAGAAAACGTTGCCGGCAAAGTCGAGGGAAACCTCTATAGTACCGGATGGGCAGCGACCGGCCCGGTAGGCGTCATCCTATCGACCATGACAAGTGCTTTTCAAGTCGGAAAATTGATCTGTAAGGAATTGGAAGAGTCTACGAAAGAGAACAAGGCGGGGTCGGATGGTCTACGAAAGATTCTGGACTCCAAGGGTGTACAGGTCGTATCTTACAGTGACTGGAAGAAGATCGATCAAGTTGAGTGCGAGCGGGGCAAGCAGTTAGGAAAACCGCGCGAAAAGATCGTCGACATAGCAGAAATGTTGGAAATAGCTGCGTAATAAGCAACATGAAAGATATTTGAAGAACTGTGACATCTATCAATCCTCAAGTCTCCGTTCTATTTGTATAATTTAGGAATAATTATCGTATCTTCGTTGATAACGAACTAATTGAATAATCTGGTTGATCCAGTGCATTTTTCCATTAAAAAAGGGAGAAGATAATCAACATGGAAAAGATGAACCTAAAGAAAAACCTAAACCTAAAGCTACTTCTCCTTTAATTTTTTTTAATAATCTTAACTGAAGACTATATTTCTAAATAGCTTTATATTTATATTTAAGTAAAATAAATATTATATGAATAATAATTCCGTAAACCCACCATTTCGTAGTGAGTATATTATTAACATAATGGGTTTATGGAATTATTAGACCCGTTATTTCTGTAATTTAATTCCAGAAGCTCCGCTACGAGTCGCCATTATACTTAACGAGAAACCGAGGTCGTGATATGACTAAACGATGGAGCCGGAAGTACTTTCTCAAGTAGTATGACTCGAGGGCTGGTCAGATATACTTTCCATGGTAATAAAACATAGACGAAATTTAACAAGCTGTAACTTTCGTAATAAAGATGCTATCGAGATCGTTCAAGAAGCACTTTAAAGCTTGAAGTCTCTAGTTTTTAACCATATTAGCTATATTAATGTTGTTAATTTTCGTTAAGATATTTTGAGTTAAACGAAAAATAGCGACCGCTTAATTTCAAACATCGTCTTTCAGTTGAGTTTTCAGAGAGAAAAATTATTTGATTCGAAAATGTGATACAGGCATTTTAAAGAGAAAACTTTAAGCTTTTTATGATTTGTTAACGAATGTCATACATATTTCATTTTAAGTGCAAATAGTGCAACTTAGTTCAATTGTAAAGAACAGACCTAATCTTAACCTGACTTTCAGCAAATTAAACAACAGGTATCAACGCTGTTATCAAATTTGTCTCTTTAAAAGAGGTAAAAATCTGTTGATATTTGAAGATAGTCTAGATATAATGAAATGAACTGTATATTTTCTTCGTTTTGTGTTATGTCTGAAATATATATTTTGATTTACTTATTTCATATCAAAAGTAATTTGAAATTTATTGGGTAACCTAATTTTCTTATCTCGATGAGTCAAATATTTATTTTATTTGATATTTCATTAATTCTTGTAGTACGTAAATGTTTAAATATCTCTCTCAATACTTATAAATTGTAATAGATATATATATAATTAAAAATTTCCCAAACAACATGTAAAAAACGTCTCATAAACGTTCTTTAGACATCTTATTTTTTAAAAGACATCTTAAGATTTCTTAATGTTAATTGGGTTAATAATTTTATTTGTAGAAATTAAATATGAATCTGCAACCACCAAAGAAAAAGAAAAGAGTGAAGTTGAAGCCACAATTACCGTTTCCTATTCCATTAAATGCATCAGATGAATGGCCAGTATATACGGCTCATTTGACAGATGTGGGCACATGCATAATTGAACCTGAAGAGATTAACGCAATACATTCTATGGTGAGGATAACTTTTATTAAATTAATTTTCCATATATCTGCAACAGCTAAGAATAAATACTTATATACAGGGATTTTTCGGCAAAGGATCATTGTCACGCAGTTACCCTAATTTTGGTAAAGCAAGATATGGAGCACCACCAGTTATTCGGAACAGACAATGGCTTCGCAGACAAGAATGGCTGAAAGAGATAAAGGAGTTAAATGTAACTTCTGCTTCCAATTACAAAGGTATGAATTAAAGTATGTTGTTAAACATATGCAATGATATAAAATATATATTGTATATTGAAAAAAAAGGACTAATGTCTATTTCTTTAGAATTTTAGTTATAAAAGTCTATAAATTCTAAGACTTATTGAAAACTGAAAATATGCACATTAATCCTTTTTCTCCTAAAATACAAGTATATTTGAGCGCGAGCATGGCATAGCAGACAGTGCACTGGTCTACTATGCTATAGTGGTCTCCCGGATTTGATCCCGGTAGAAGCGAAAATATATTTACGCTTATGTTTCTTCTCGGAAGGCATTGGCAAACCACCGAGAGTATCCTTGCTAAGAAAACTCTCTCGAAAATAATTTGCAGTTTGGAACCGGTATTAAAACTAGATCTCATATGCTTGTGTATAATCAATGTGCGCCAGCACAGACATATGAGAGAGGTCACCACGCTTCTGCTACAAGAAGCAAATAGGACTTAAGAAGAAGAACAGGTATTATGAAGTACATAATAAAATATAGTGATGCAATTGCAGATACTAAAATGGATATACAATGCGAAGATGAAAACGTCACGGATAGTCAGAAAGAAAAACTCGATGAAGTTGTTGAAATATATTCGAATTCCATTGTCAACAACGAGAAGGAGCAGAATAACGAAGTTACTACGAAAGATGTGGAAGTTGATGAAGTTGTACTAGATTCTGCAGAAGAGGACGACATATGCGTAATCATTAACAGAGACTCCAATAAGGGTGATTATGTCAATATCTTCTTTTTTTTCCTCTTTATGATAGACTTTTAGATCTATTTTTCCTCTCACGCATATGCTGCATATTACGATTTCAAAGGTGGAGACGCTCGCGCGAACGACGACAATAATCTTCACGGAAATGTATTGGTTCTGCCGGACAGCGACTCGGAAACGACTGAAAACTACCTGCAGAATATCAAACCAAGAATCGAGACTGAAGGTTTTCCTGTTCGCGAGACTCTGCATCTCACATTCGAGGAAACCTTCTTTCTAATGTTCGGATTAGGTTGCTTGCAAGTAGTTCATTTCGACGGTAGCCTACTTGATATTAATAACGCTTGGCTATACTTTTGCAAGGAGAAATCAGACTTCCTGCAGAAATATGTAGTCTACCATTATTACAGGAGTAAAGGATGGATAGTCAAGTCCGGTATTAAATATGGTGGCGATTTTTGTTAGTATCTATTACATGCGTCTTGTAAATATACTATTAAATTTTCTTATCTTCTCTATTTTATCCTATTTTATTTTTCTATTTAAGGTTTTTAAATGTTGCTTATATCGCAAGAATTTCCAAAAACATGTCAGCAAAACGGAAATTATTTTTATAATTATCTTCCTTTCTCTTATTAGAGAGAATTATTTAAATATCAAATGTAATTTTTCTTCTGAAAAAGATTTTTTTTAATACAAATGCTGTGTTATATCTGTCTCTAAAATGTTTGTTAATGTTTTAGTGCTTTATAAAGAAGGACCATCCTTTTATCACGCTTCTTATATTGTCATAGTCGAAGTTGCGGATGCGGACTCGTTAATTTTAGATCCTGCATCCAATCGATCCGTTACATGGAATAGTTTATTCGGATTGGAAAGGCTGTCCGAAACTGCCGCGAAGGTAAATACATGTACATAAACATCTATTATAAATATAACACGGTTAAAATATATATCTGTGCACGTGTGTATAAATAATCGCAATGAATTTTTCTGAAATATCTGCAGGAGATACTTTTCGCACAAGTTTTATGGCCGTCATCTGTATCTCAGGATATCAGCACGACCAGTCCCGAAATACTTTCTGAATTTACCGTGAGGGAATTATTGTGGCGTCGATGGAATCCAAATCAACACCGGGAAGATGTTCCTACTGAGGAAGAGGACGACGACTCCTACTGAAAACTTTTCCATAATTATTTATAAACACGAATCATATTGCAAGTCTTTTTTACAATTCTAATTCATTTTATATATCAGTCATCATATTGATTGAAAATATACATATAATGTAGGTTTTTATTAAAAAAAAATTGTACATATATTAAATTAGGATACGTGGTGTTACCACGATGTTTTATTGTGAAACAATTCCGCAGAATCCTGCAATCGTTGCGATAATCGTGTTATGAACTTTTTATAGCTTACAATAGTCGCAATAATCTTGCATTGCTGTAACAACACACATTGCATTGCGTGTATAATCAAAGTATTTCCAACACAATGGAACGTTATTGAATCTCACAAGGTACTAGAACATGCTTGTACTGTTACAAAGTATCCGAGCATCTCGTGCGGATAGTGACACTTAGAGCTGAGTTTTATCGTTTCTTTTTTCATTTCTACCAATATTAAGAAAAAAGATAGTCACGTTATACACCTTAATATTCACATACGACGTCAAACACCTGTATAGTAAACTGACGAAAATTAGACTTCTTTTCAAATCTCTGAATTCACCATATATGCGCGACTATTTATATCGCACGATTAAATACGACTGAATCTCACACGAGATACTCGAATATTTTTATACGAGGAAGTGTTCGAATATTGATATACTCTCTTTCTCTCTCCGATAGGGATAGCGGCGCGCGGTCTTGCTGGATCGAATCGCGCCATATCTTTATCAACGATCGGCGAAGGTGCCGTAGCCAGACGCGGCAAGTACCGCAAAGCGGTTACTCGCGAAGTGAAAGCCGCGGGATTGCAGGGGCTCGCACTGTGGGTCCCGCGCAGTCAGTACGAGGCGAGCTGAGAGCTGGCATGTCGATCGTCGTGCATCGCGTAGTCGTCAACGAGTCGTCACGTTGAGCATCTCTAAAAAGATCGAGCCCATTCCCGGGGGTAACGCGGTTCCGCGCGATCTGGTATGTAAAAAAAAGACCAATAGATTTCCCTCCCTCTTTTGTCAATTTCGAAAGGAATTGTACAATAATTGCCAGTGATAAGAGAATAAGATGCACAAATCATTCATTTCGTCAGAGAAAAATAGCAAAATATACGTTTTACATTTTATCATATAATTAAATGTCGTGAAATGGAAATTAAATTTACTTAAATGGATCGTTCGATATTTTTCCATTTTTAAGTATTGATTTGATGTAACATATATAATCAGAATTTATTTCATCTTGGCTGATATTAACTTACCGATCAAAATACTTAATTTATAATCTGTGATAACATAACATTATGAGCTGAGAATTCTTATTAGATCACGCGAATAGTGATTGTTTTGTGTTTTCTTTATTCTATATGGTTACCCCGTTTTTCTCTATTCTATACGGTTACCCCGTTTTTCTCACAACGCGAGAGATGTTCGAGGACAGACTAATGTGCAGCGGTCGAAGCGACTAATGAATAAGAATCGTGTTACTTTCATATAGAAGCTGTGAATACGAGAGAAAGCGCGACTCGCAACGCGGCCGCGAGAGAGTATTCGTCCGCGTCTTAAGCGTTTCAATTTATACGGAAGAGAGACGAATGTGACGATGTTTCTGATCTTAATTCAGCTAGGAACAGGAAGAAACACCGGGTCGAATTTTTATCCGCGGCGTTGCGCAAACTTTCAATAGAGGCAAGAAATACTACCAGCCAAGCCCACTTTTTCTTTAATACACGAGGAAAAGGTGATTCGAATTCAACTTTTTTTTCGAATTGTTACAAAGTAAGCCCGACAACTATTTCGCTTAACTCTCTCATGTTACGAGTATGAATACGGAGAAAGGAAATATCGATCTTTCCGCAAAATTCATTCGATTATAATTCTACTCGTAACTTACTGATCTTTCATTGTTCTCGGAACATGACTTCTCTCTCTCTCTCTTTTTCTCTCGGCTTTATTAATTAAAATCTCGTCTATGTGAATATTCTGCGAGGCACACGTGTCTGCATCATAGAAATATAGTTAACGGTTGGACGCCGTAAATGGACGAGTGAATGTCATCCTCGTCTCACGATACGCCTGGGAATTCACTTGCATCCGATGTGGCAGTGCATAACGATGAATAATCTTGGCCGCGGCTAAGAACGGCGAAATCACCCGAAGCGAAATTTCGAGCTCGAGCCGCTTTCGACTTTTAATCACGATTAAAGAGAGCACTCGCAACGTATTCGCCAACTAATATACACTTGACTGCCAAAGTATTTTTTCTTAAATTGTCGCCTAGTCATTATACTTTCAATTTTCACTCGAGACTCTTGCTGTCAAGACGTCCAAAGCCGTACAGCTTTCGACGGGTTTGAAAACGAGCACACACGCTTATAGAAAATCAAAATGCGTATCGAGCTGATTAATATTCATAGAAAGTTATCGACATCGTTAATTTTTCGTCGTCTTCACTTTCGATACATACATTTCTCGCGCGTGAATACATGACGTATACGGAAGGCCGTGCCGTATGTCTTAGCCGTAAAACTGAACGAGATTCAAGTGAAAGTAAACATAACAACTGTTTGCACCGTCTCTATAAACTCCCTACGGCATCTTTGCACCGGTTCCCGGTTGTAATTGGGATATCTCGTGCATTGCGTTATCTTACGTGCTTGGTATACCTGACGTATAGGGTGTGCCCGAAAGTAGCGAGAGTCACCGTAATCTCGCGATGTGACTTCTTTTTTAGCTTCTTGCTTGCATTAAGATGTAAACAATAAGCAAATTAACCACGATTGATTATTCTCCTAATAAACGACCGTGGTTGGTCAATTTGATTATTGATTACGTCTTAAAGTAAGATTGACAAAAAGTGAGAATTCGTCTCGGCGACAGCAGACTTGGCCGCGACCATCCTAAAACAACTAAACTCACCTGTTATTTCCAAGTTTTGCCGACAAATCTGACGGGCCAATTATTGAGATTTAGTAGGAGGTTCAAACGACATTTGTTACATTTAAAAAATCTTACAATTCCGATGTTTCAAAGCTTCGATATTTTCGAAATTCGATTGCCAAAGCCTTCGGAAGAAAACACCAGCCCTAGTCGATACTCGTAACTCGACTTGTTAAAGAAAATTCGTTTGTTTCATAACATCGCTTAGTACCTGAATATATCTCGGTGTTGAGTAGCGGTATTGTAAAAGAATCAGTAAGGATTCGACGCCCCGACTTGGTATCGTTCCTCCAACTTGCGCTTATTCGATCGTGGCTGCGTTTCCATTCGGGGCCAGTCAGGGAGCAGCGATTGCTAAATGGACATTCCTGAGAAACTGAGCTTGCTTTCTAAGCAGGGCCTGTCACGTGCCGACGAGGCCCCGTTTAACGCGGATATTTCTTGATCCGACACGTGCAACGTGCGTCGCCTGCTCGTGACCACAGGATTTAATGTGGTCCACGCGCGTGACAGCGTGCGTGCGAAAGCACGTTCACTGCTCCCGTTTCGCTCACCTCGATACAAATACCGCCCCGATCTAATCACGTAACCATGATAATGCACCGTGAGATTACCGCGAAGGGCGTGATTATAGAGCGGATAGGCTTTCGCAATTTCGTTAACCCTGAGTAACGCAGAATAAATTCCGTATGACTGTGCGATCTGATTCTAGAGATTCACGGGATCGCTATTTATGCGATGCATTAGATTCTACATGCCTCTCTCGGGATTGATGACTTTGAATTCGCAGTTTCATTTTGCTTTGTCACATTCCATTACTTTCCCGGTTCCGTACAGTTGTATGGAACTGTGATTTCATTTTATCTGTGTATACAATTCTATATTTCGTTGGTTGAGGCTCTATAATTCCGTGGTCCATAATTATAGATTTGTATTATACATAGTAGAAAATGTTGTGTCAAAAACGGTCCACTGCAAGTTTGTGTTACTTTAACACGGAGAATGTGTTAAGAAGTACACAAGTATAATGTTAAATCAACACCTTGCCAGCATATGTTGACAAGACCACTTACTCAGTCTCTATTATAGACGTGTAATATATGTCGACGAGGTGAATGTGTCAATTTAACATTATATTTGTGTACTTTTAAACACATTCCCCATGTTGAAGCAACACAACATTTCAGTGGGCCGTTTTTAACACAACATTTTTCAATTTTCTTTATTTTCTACATATCTTTTATTGTGCAGTGTCCTTTTAATTCGCGAACGAAATCGCGAAAACCTCAGACGCCTCGCGGTTCATCGTCACGGTAATAAGCGCGATTAGGATTGCAGCGGTTACGTTTCCAACGCGATGATCTTGCGGGAACGGGAGCGTGCAAGTGCGTATATACGCGTTATGTATCCACTCGCGCTGTGTGGAAAGTAAAATAATCGCGGAACGTCAAAGCTTCCGAGTGAAACTGAGTTTCCGCTTCCGACTGGCCATAAGTTTTACATTTTACCTCTTTACCTACCTACCGTCATGGACCTTTTCTTCAAGTCCGTTGCGTGAAATGAAAAATCCGGATCGATCTGGGTCGATCGCGCCGATCAGGAAGCAATTAAGAAATAACCAGCAACATGCTGCCTGCGCCATAAGCGGCAGGGAAATTTCTCAAACACCCTGTTGCTAAATCTCAAACGACTCCGACCGGCAATGTGCGATACTTCGCGATCGTTCCATTTTCTTCTTTCCTTTCCTCGCATTTTTATCGGACGATTACGCTCGTTACACAAAATATTCCGCTAATGAAGCGAGTCTCACAGTTCCAGCTGCGAGGATATACATAATACTATATATCTTATAATCAATTTTAATCATACTTTGTTTCGGCAAATATGTATGTTCTGTTGCTTTTAGCTAAACTGGCTGCATTAGTTTCGAGAAATTTACATATACATTGAAGCGAAAGTACGAGGTTCTCACGTTTCAGTATATGTAAATTTCTTAAACTAGTGCACTCAGTTCAACTAAAAAGAACAGGCCAATAATCTGTAACAGTTAAAATTCTATATAAAGTATTTATGTATTCGCATATACACACACACACACGCAGTATCGGGCGTTTTACACATAATTTTTAATTTTCGGAACGAAATCGTTTTTTCTCAATTTTTCCGCGGATTTCCCCGGTTTCTCGGGAAAAACAAAACTTTGTTTGAAAAAATTCACATTCAATTAAAAACACTTATTTTTTTCCACAAAAAAAGTAAAAACCAAGAAATCTGTGGAAAAATAGGGAGAAACGCTTTTCATTCCCGAAACTTTGAAGCTCAAGTTTCACGCTAGCGCGTTCAGGCCGCACGTTTTCGATGTTGGAACAATCAAAACAAGAAAGTTGTAATGTAACGTAAAGCCGTGCTTCAAGGATGCGTGTAAGATTTTCAACACTTTTGTCATCCACGAAAATAAACCTGTCCGTCCCCGTTTGTATGCGAATCCGATGCACCGGGGGAGGTCAACGCGAAACGCTCGCTATCGCTAGGTACGCGCCGGTATAATCATCTCCGCGCTCCCTCGTTTGTTCTCGCGTGAACATTGCGAACAATTCTCGGTTTCGCAAGCAAGTACGCGCGATCGGTTTAATGACGGGATCCAATCCGACGCGGTTTTGCGGTTAAGCTTGGCAATCTTCGAAGCGGATATTGAGCGTCTAACTCGACGAGATCTTTAAGAGCAAGAAAATACGGTGGCATTCGCAACGGCGCCGTGTCGAAAATCCGGACGTTTCCCTTCCAGCTTCCAGCGATAAAATGGACTTCATTACATTGCGCGTTTGGTATCATAATGTTGTAATTTGTTTTAGTTTAACGTAATTGTCCTCTGTTCCTTCCTCTCAACACTCTCGACATGCTTTCGACAGCTGCGAACGACGAGATTAATTGGGAGTACGCTTCACTTTCACTTTGCTAGCTGTGTAACTCGGAGAGCATTGCTGTGTTTCTAACACGTTCTTGACGGAGACAATCTTGAGGTGAAGTCGGCCGAGAAATCGATAGCAGTCAGTCGGGAGGAATGAAATACTGGGCGAGAAATTAGCATGATCCCTACAAGAAAGCGTGGATCATCGCAAGAAATCCAACTGGAGAAGGCCACGGGATGTCCCGAAGAAAAATTGTCGTCCTCGAGATGGATGTGAAAAATCAGCACAACAAGACCGGTCGAAACGGTCGCGGACAGCCGTGATCCTACCACCAACGAGGAAGTTGAAAACTCTCTTTATTACGATTCGAATAAACAGTGAAATTCTGATCTTTGTGCTCACTATATTCTGCGCGTGTAGATTCGCGATATATCGATTTTTCTCCGAAATAAAAGGAAATTTCACATCTTCAACTTTTCCGTGAGACACCCGGAAGAAGGGAAGCTGTGTGTAGCGCGGAACCTGTTACGCGACAGCTCGACGATATTTCGAGAGAATAATGACTGGATTAACGAAGGCGGCGTTTCTTCTTGGGAACGAGGAGCAACAATATCTCGCTATACACCTCGGGTTAACCTTTTCCACCGGTGGAAAAAAAAAAGAAGAAGAATAATAAGAAGCAGCAGCGCAGCACGGCGTATGGGAAAGTGCTTTCCCGGCGATTCTCAGAGTTCGTTTAACCACGAGGCTGCGCGACAGCTCGTGTACTTAGGATCGCGCTTCGTCTAGCTGGGAGGTGCGTGCTCGCCTAGGAGATTGCGCCGTTCTTGCGTCAGACGTAAATGCGCAAATTCGCGTCGGAATTATCGTCCGTGCATTATTCCGCGTGCGATTTAACCGTCGCGTGAGAATGTCCGAGAAAATCACCGAGAGGTCGAGATGTAGAAAAATAGTGTCACCGTGTTGTCACTCTCTGAAATTTCACGCTCGTATTTCGCTGGGGAATCCCGCGTGCCTCGTGAAAACGTTAAGATCGCATTAAAAACTCGTTCTACTCGGAAAAATGAGAAGAATATGCTAATACCTTTTCAACGTTATTACTCTATGCCAAGCGGTCGTATATTTAATTTATATCAGCGTGGTACATCAGCGAAGTAAAGAGCGAGAAACTGTCCGAAAGCGAAGCGAACACCGTGTGTCAAGTGTTTTCTTCTCGTTTCCGAGCGAGGACGATTCGGAAAACGCATCGAGAGCGAAAACGCTGCGAGTCGGTTGCAGTTTCGCGCGCTGAGGAAAAGTAACATCGGACCGAAAACGGAGTGGAATGCGTGGGCGGTCGCTCTCGGGCCCGGTCGATGGTCTCGGGCTGACCGTGATCTTGGCAGATCGACCGGTAGGGAATACCGTTCGCGTCGCTGATGACCGGTTTTTAGCATATTTCGTGGCTCCCCGAAGGCGCAGGGGCCGCCGGGCGATCATTACGCTTGACCACGAAACGTACGCACACGGACGTGAGGCTGCGACAGCTCAATAAATTAGCTGGTCTAACGTGCAATCTCGTCTGGCAGGTCGCTAATTTGCCGAAAGAGATATCGGGAGATCCGCGCCTGCGAAGCTCGATACCCGCGAGGCGCCGCGAGGATTTAATCTGCGAAAATGCAACTCAATTTAAATCCGCGAATATAAACTTTATGCGCGCAGTTCCACTCCGATCGCAAAAAAAGAATTACGCGGAATCGCTCGAATACCCGATTGAGATTCATACGTGCGTTGCGGCATAGCGATTTTCTTTTTGTTCATGTCGTTTGTTACATTCCGCACGCGTATACGTACGGCAGTAGAACAGAGTAAGAGAGAGAGAGAGAGAGAGAGTAGGGCCACTCCTTTTCGCCTTCGGGAGTCGAGGAGTGACTTATCAGCACCATCATTACCTCGTACACCTTGAATTCTCGCAATGATTATTTTCGGCTGCTCCGTCCCGACCTTTGTTATTACATTTTGCAACTTGGATGCAAAATCTTTAACCGCACATCTCGCTTTCTCTATCATTGTACATTAACGTTATTATTAATGTAGACGATAGATGAATCGTATAAAGATTTTCTTTCCTTGTAAAACATTAAATTTGATTGGCTGGCGATTAAATATTAACGATGAGAATCCCAAGCTGTGCATATCTCTTTTGCTTTACTTATCGTTATACATTAACGTTACTATTAACGTAGATAATAGATGAATTGTAGTTTTCTTTTTTATAAAAAAATAAAATCACTCCGATTGGCGATGAAATAATAACGATGAAGCCCTCAAACGCGCGGTGCGATCGGCTATAAATCGACAGGTTGCAACGATACTCGCGAACTCCTCGCCTCGCAATAATTCGCCGCGTATCCTATCATTAGAAGCACACTCGGCTATGTTGTGCTCGAACCTTTTTTTAAATCTCACAATCAGTTTCAGTTCTCGCAGCCGTTCGCCGAGATATCTGCCGCGGTGTCGTGAGAGAACACGGGTGAAAGGAGCGGGCTCGGATTCCGCGATGTTGCCCCGTCTCGATGTGCCGACTCCTCGATTGCCATTCTGCATCTTCGGGAAAATCGCCGGACGTTTAAAAAACGTTCAGCTGCGGCGAGCGTCTCGAAGCGTCGTGCGAATTCCCGCCGGACGCAGCGGAATTAAAGTAGAATCCGGAGGTACATCGATATCAAACGTCGAAGATTAATAATATCGACGATCAAATTTCTTTTTCCTTTTTTTAAATTGTTACTTCACACTGCGATCACGCGAGTTGAAGCGCTACCGTTAAGAAAATGAATCGATATATTGGAAGATTATAACTAGTTACCCATGCAAATTGCAACAGTAACTGGTTACATCATTTCAATATACCGATTCTTTTTCTCAAGGGTGTCCCACCGGATATTCCACGGATCGCTACGGTTTCCCCGGCCGATTTCAAAACCGATATTTTTCAACGTCCCTCCGATGGATCCTGGACACTCCATGCGGGTGATTGGAAGTAGTAACGGTTCGCACTGTAACGGCACACGCGACGCACTGTCGGGAATAGAAAAAGCGCACTTTCGAGGTTACTGTCAGCCCCGATCCGCGATCTCAAATCACGGATTCCGGTCGTGCCTCTTTGGAAGCGCCTTTTACTATTGTTTCGGGCTAAACGATTACCGACACCCACCCACGGTGTGCGCGCGTGTTACGTAATGATTTCGTCGGACGCGCGTTACCGCGTGCTCGCGATTGTGTTAAAGCTGCGTTTGCCTCATACAGGATGTTTCCCGAGCGAGCTCGCACCTCACAATGCCCATGCCGCTCGGCCAGATAGCGATCGGGCGAAGAGGAAATTTTTGCTTGCGACACTTGATTATTTACAGGCGCGACATCGCTCTTCTTAATCTTCACCGCTCGCACGTCGGTCTGAAATTGATACTTATTTCTTGGCCAAATCAATATTTTTTTTAATAATCTTGACAAAATCTTGATAAATTTAGATTCATCGTTGCACGACGGTGCAACAGTGTCTCGCGTCGATCGATTGTCCTCTGCGTGAAAGGCGCCCAAGAATCCGACGATTCAGATGCATTCATTGTTGTTCCGCATGTGATGTGAAACGCGCTGATCTTTCTATCGCGAGAACATCTCTTCCGTAGGAGATGCAAATCCGAGGACGGTCTCCCGCGTAGGAGGTTCGATAATTGCGAGTTATCGTAAAGGAACGTGAGCGGGATAATCGACGAGACGTTATCTTTAATGAGACGCTCGTGTCCGTCGTGTTTTTTACATAACCGTTAACTGTTAGGCGAGAGAAAGAGAGATGGATAGAAGTAACGGTGCTTTATAAATTAACGTCATATTCGCACGTCGGTTGACGTAATCAGTATTCTCTTTTATTTTCTATTTTCTTCCTTTTTATTTACCTCGGAAGATATACTCGCATCATGAGCGATTGCGATAATTGCGTGATCGTCCGAGAATCGTTGCTCGATTCTCACGATCGTGGAAAACGATTAGCGCCCAAACCGGATATTAGCGCTTACGCATTGCACGCACGGGCGACCGATGTGTAACGACGACGATTCCTTAACGTTTACGTTGACCTTTCCGTTTATGTTTGTGCTTTCAGGTTCATGCGTCTACGTAGGATGAGATCAGACTGAGCGCAATGACAACGAGATACTTTGTGTTTGCCATAACTCTAGCCTGCGGTGAGTGATATGACTTCATCGCTGACAAATGCAGAGATTCTTTTAGATAATAAAAGACGGCTCCTGTTTTGGGCTCCGAGATCTTCCTCTTTCTTCGTGTCGTATTTTGTCGAGCAAGGAAGACGGTTCTTGCTAATTTGTGCAAATGAGACGCGAATCTTTTTCGCGAGAAGTGGGCTTCATTGTTATCTTATAACTGCAAATGCGTGTCTTCGCCTTTACGATCGACTCTTCGATAGCGTTATTTATTATTTTGCGAGCTCACAATCTTGTGCAGTTGCAGCGTCTGCCGCGCAAGTCTACAAGAGCCATCCTGAGGAGGCGGCTGCACCTGCGGTCGAATCGGCGTCCACGAATAATGATTTCATCACGCAAACCGTATACGGGTTCCTGGACTTCACCACGACCATCGGCAACACGGTGATGGTGTTCAGTCCCCAGAGCGCACCACCACCAGGTACGCTCATGCCCGAAATGCGCAAGGATTTTTACGCGAAAGAGATTATTATCGGAGCTTCTTCGCTGGGAAGTAATTATCCGTCGGAGTTGCGCCCGAGGCGTTATTGCGTTTTCTTTCAACATTATTACGCCTACTCGATTCTCCGGCAAATCGTTTGATGCGATTGCGAATGACGCGAAGGATCATCCTCCAAGCGCAACCGACGCTTGCCGCTGTCGACACTATTTGTCTGATCTCTCGAGTTACGGACGAGACCTTGGAAGCACTCGCCGGGTACTCTGTATACGCACGTAAGAGCCTTGGCGAGGTGCGTCGAGGAGGGCCAATCTCTTTAGCATATCGCTGCGTTGGCCCGCGTACAGATCATGCTCATTGTTTGCTCGTCATGTCGTCTCCTTGACTTTTGAACCCACCCACCCGTCACGTACCGGCCGTAAACCTTCTCGTCCGCTTCCTCCTTTGTTCCAGATAATGATGTAGATCCAGAAAACGCGACCAATGGTATTTGTAGGTGCGAATCCACGTTGGAGCAACGTGGCTGCGCCGTCATCGCCGAAATTAATCAATCGCGCGACCTCCGCTTGTGAAAATTCATTGCCGTGAGACGGAATAATAGAACGAACGATGCGAGGCGAGACAAAGCAAAAACGACACGATGTGATTAAAATGTGGAAACATAAGAAGCACAGTGGTGTTATATAATCCGCATGAAACCGTGCAGAAATACTTTCACGTACATTTTAAGCTCTTTTTCTGCGGAGTTCTGCTAAAGGTATTCGGCGAGTCCTTGGACACGGGTGTTGGTCCTCCTCTGTGCGCTCTTTTTACTTTTGTCTCCACTCCCTCGGCTACGGTGATTTTTATTCTCGACAGTCGTCGGGTATGCTAATGCGTCGTTTGTTGTGTTGTTCCAGGGGCGGCGGACGCTGGGAAGAAGATCACGTCCACCACGCCAGCGATTCACACGAAACCACCGACGACGGAACCGAAAAAGAATGCCCCTGACATCCAGCCCAGCAAAACGCATAAGCAGGATGCGCAGAGTGAGACGAAAAAGCAGATAAAAGGCACGAAGGTCGTCGTGAATTCTGTCGTCGAGCAAAACGTGGTGAACCCGTCCGTGGACGCCGCACCGAAACTCACGAAGAGCCAGGTGAGACTCGGATATCGATACATTTCCCTTGAATATTAAATAATAAACCTTTCAAAAGCGAGAGGAGGACATTTTCAGATAATACGAAGTATAATTGTACAATGCATAATTTTTAATTGGGATTTTATTTATTTATTTATTTCGTTTTTTTTTCACGAAAACGCAGGTCCCTTTAATACATAATAGTATTAAATATATAGGTAAATTTTGCGCATAAAGATATAGAAAATGAAATATTATAGAAAAAGGAGAAAAAAGAAAAAAAAAGTACAGTAGAAGTGGAAAAAATTAAGACAGATTAAACAGACAAACTTGTTCAGATGATTTACTATTGGTTTATCCAAATAAATACTGGTTTTCCTAAAAAACTTATTTTGGACGCACTCAATGCTAAAAAAGTATCCATTCTGATACGGAGACGAAATCACTGAGCCATATTCCAAATGCAGTTGGACCAACATGCAATATTACATTAATAGAATATGATTTTATAATGCGATTTTCCTTGAAATCGTAAAGGGAGTACAATACTCAATGTGACTTTTTCAGGAGACAAGCAAGCAGACGACGACAAAGACGCCTGTACTGTCGTCGGTCGTTCAAATACGCGCCAAAGATGAGACACCGGGTGTAAAGAACAACCTCGCCGAGCCGGAATACGATTTTCTCTCGAAGCAACCGACAGAAGTGATCGACGAGACGTATAAGGTAGGAAAATCGAGGTCGCCGAAATAACACGTTAACGTTGAAGGAACTAAAGGGTAATTTTCCACGCCAGATCTACGCGAACTGGAGAACCAAGTATCCAGTTTATGAAAGCGACATTGATCTTCGCGTGGCACAGCGGCGACGGGTATAAAAATCGGGAAATCTGGTTTCTCGGTTCCGCTAATTGTCGCCAAACCGGCTCGTCGTTGTCGTTGCTGACGAATATTTCGCACGCGGCGGCACTGAAACGAGTTTTCTCGAGACGAAAACACCGAATCGCCCTTACCCGACGTACCCTCGCTCGGTAAAAAATGGGTCATCTGGTCGGCGAGGAAGCGGGAAGGTCGCGTGAAATCGTGCGCTTCTCGGTTCTGTTGTAAAATTGCGCAATCACTAAGTCCGCGCGACTTTCACGATATAACTCTCGCGCGAAACCACTGCAAACCGCGCGCGGTGAAATTATTCGACATAATTGCGTCGGCGTAATTTTCCGCGTGCCGTAATCGATTTCCTAGCCGATCCCTCCCGGCGCCGACTCCTTGTCGGCGGTAGCGATCGGCACGTGAAAGTCGATCCGATCGCATCGGATAAATCGGTTTCACTCGGACCGTATCGAACGCAATACTTTTCCAGCGCGGCTTTTGCGATCGTAAAATACCAGGGAAATCTCGCTCCAGCAAGATTGTAATCTCGATTATTTATTGTGTGTGACATAGAAGTGTGACGTGAACTAAATAACTGAATAATTTATACAAATTTTATCGTACTCCGCGTTTGCTCAAAATCGTATATTTTAGTGATTGCTAAAATACAATTTTGAGCAAACCTTAATTTCAAAATATAAATATTATTATTAGACTACATTTTGAGTCGTGATGCAAAAGTTCCTTCCGTTTTTGAATCAGTTCTTCGCTCCGAAATCTCAGAAATTTCTCAAAAAACAGTCCCAGAACGAGCACGAGGTCGTGCAGTTGCTGGGAAGATGTCGGATCATCGTCATCAAATAAATCGGCGTATATTCAATTAATTTGTTGTATCTTAAAATAAGCAAATGTTATATATATATTTTTTTTTCTGAATTTTTAAAGAATAGGACGAACTTCTGCATCAATCGAATAACAATCTCTTTTTTCCCTCAACAATACATAGCTGATCAATCTGCGGCCTTCGTCGAAAGCGCACGCGAAGCCGCGCGCTACGCCGCGAAGAGACAAGGAGAACCCGACCGGCTTGGTGACCAAGTTGGGCGGCACTATCGTGAAAGACGGGCTGACCACCGTGCACGAGACCAGCGTGATCGGCACTTATATTAACGGCAAGTACGCCCAAGTGCTGCAGAGCTCTTCCAGGATCCTGACAGCGCCGGCAGCGGCTGTCCCTGAAGGCAAGATCCGGCCATCGAACACTCACCGCATCTTAAAGACCATCGGACCCCAGCACGGCAAGCTCAAGCCCCAGCTGGAGCCTACGCCGACCCATCAGCAGCAGGAGGAGTCTTCGTTGCCACTCGAGGTGCTGTTCGACGCGTCCTCTGGTACGTATCTCTCGAATCGAGTGCCATCAATCATCATCACTTCTCAAGACAAAAAAGTAATTCGGTTTGAATTACTGACTGCTGTCGAGAAATTAATAAATGTATAAGTAAAGATAAAGGCAGTTCAGGTACTTGAGATTTATCTCTAATATAATTTCATAATTGAAGAAGTAGTGAGAGAATTTTTGTCGGTAAAGTGGGTGTAGTACATGGTGGTGTTGGGAAACAAAGCTATATCGTTGAAATTTGATGTCAGGCACTCCAATACGAACGACGCGAAGGCATCATTCGGCCGGCGGTCAGCCTCGGCTCAAGTTCCGAAACAAGATCTCCGAGGACTATGACAGTAATGAACCGCAGCAAACGAGGATCGGGAAGAATCGTGCGACGACGGCACGGCCCAATTTCAAGTGAGCGCTTTCGCTCGTCGAACCCGAGTCTTACTGTCAAAATTACCAGACGATTTGCCTTCTCGCGAGAAACGAGCTTGCTAAAATGCGCCATCCTTTCTTCAGGAATCGCCCCGCGACGACGACTACCACGGAGGCGCCAGTTACGCGTCGTCGTAGCGGTTTCCGACCGAGCAGCCAGTCCACCGGTTCGCCTTCCAAACAGATCTCGAAGTCGAAGAATGAGCAACAGCCGACGACAACGGCCAGTCTGCCGGTGCCCAAGGTGAAGCTACCTCGGACCCAGGGTCGCTGGTCGTACAAGACCACGCCGAAGCCGAGGATCGTGATTCGCAAGCAAGTGGACGATGAGGAACTGCGCGCGTCGTCGACGGAAAATCCGAGCACAACGGAATCGCTCGCGACGATATTGGACGACGGTAGAGTGGCGGCGACCGTCGGCGCTGCATCGACGGCCGGCGGTATCGCCAACGCTCAGAGGAAGGAATTATCCTTGACCGAAGACGAATTGGACCCCAGCGAGAGCGAGGATGTGGCTAGTGTGACCGTGCAAGATCACCAGCACTCCGGAGAACAGATCCTGCCAGTGGAGACGCTCAACGTGGAGATCTCCACCGTGGCGGACCAGGACAGTGTGTACTTTGAGATCGCCACTATCAAGTCACCTTACGCCTTTCAGGTAGCTCCCGATTAAACCTTAAGAATATAACTATTGTTACAATTTTCCTTGATTTGAGATGAATTTTTTAAGCTTCAAGATGAATCATTTCTTCTTTTATATATATATAGTCTATATAATGTTTGGTAATTTTTAATATTACTTTAAAGATTAAACCATATCTATTTTGCAAAATCAAACAATTTAAAATATCTTGCCCTTTCAGGTGGGTACACTACGAAATACCCGGTACATCACGGTGACGTCGACGATCAAGAAGACCTTCGCCACAGCCGAGGCGAGTAGCTCGATCTCACCCACGGAACCGTTAACGGAGAACATCCTCGCTAACACAGGAGCAGCCTACGAGTCCAGCCTACCACTGGACTCGTCAGTTGCGACTCTACCGGCTATTTCGTTGGATCCCGGCCAGGCGACACCGCCGTTGGAGACGCTGACGGAAACGTTCTCGACGACGCAGACGTTGCTGAAGACGCACATGCTGCCAGTAATCTACGGCGGTAACAGCACCACCCGGCTAACTCTGGTGCAGACGTACAACATCGCGCGTGTGGTAACGGCAACGAAGACGTTACCTCCGATGGAGATCTACCAGTTCATTCCCAGCAAGACACTGAACGAGTTCAACTCGAAGCTCGACGAGGCCGGCAGCGAGCTGCACCTCGAGCTGGACTTCGGCGAAGATGATCGTGACGACGAGGACGTGCCTAAGAGAGTGGTAGTGCCCAACAACGACGCTGATTCTGACCTGGACGTATTCAGATCAGCGTCGCCGTCGAAGGTGAAAACCGACGTCGTCACCAGCAGCAGTGCTGAAGCTCAGCTGACTCCGGAGCAGGCCCAGCAGTTGGCCCTCTTCAAATACTTTGGTCAGCCGCAGCCCCAGGTGATCACCACGTCCAGGCCAGTGGTCGTTCTGGAGACGTTGTACGAGTCGCACGTTATTCCCGTGGTGAACGCGGGCAACACCGTCTTCTCCACGTTATCCAGGCCAGTTGGCACTGTGCCCAGGTTGGTATCCTTGTAATATTTAATGATAATCCGCTAAATTTGTTTAAATTTCACAAGAATAGGGAAAGAAAAATCAAATTATATGCAATCATCATTGTCCACCGAATGTCTATCGGTCCATAAATAAACACTCGGTCACAAAACGGTTGCAACAATTTTTTTGTTTCTCATATTTCGAAACGTACAAAAATGATGACGAAGCGAACTTATGAATTGACGATCATGAACGGTGATCCGACAGCTGTCAAATTACGTATACAAGGTGTAGGCATAAAGGTAGAACAATATATTAGTTACACACGCTTTAATACGAGAAAATTAAAACTGGAAAACTAGAATTATATTTATAAATTATATCGCATTTTCGCATGTCAAATACACTGTACGTCACAATTATTTTAACGTATCTTCCTTCCAATTTGTTGTTACGACGATATCTTATCTCGTTTGTTTTTCAGGACGTCCTACGAGTATGGCACATCCACTCTGAGCCCGGTGCTCTCACCGCAGGTGCCACAGGTGCCGCAGGTACCTCAGCTGCCGTTGTTCCCTCAGCAGCCACAGTTCACAGTGACCAGCGCGCCATTGATCACCCAAACTCTCGCCACCATATCCGAGTCGAGGGTGCTGAAGCTCACATTCGGCGCCAAGACCGCCTACACCACCCTCTTCTCCACAAAAGTCGTACCAACTGAACTCACCACCTACGTTACCACCACATTGCCGGTTCAGCCGACAGTAGCAGCCTATCCCGGCTATTATCCGCCGCCGGTGCCTTACCCGGCTTTCCCCTTCGTCGGTTAGACTTGAATCTAACTCTCGAAGTCTTCGCGATGCAGTTCGATCGCGATCGATTGTCAAACAGACTCGCCCCTTTGAAGGATAATACTCAAATTTTGACTTTATTCGCAACAGTTCTGTTTTTCCTTGATAGTATTAGTATCGACGTCTTTAAGATTTCGCGCCGTTAAATAGTATTATTAGAATGAGAGATGTCTTATAAAACGTTTAATTTAATAGGAAATTTCATTTGCCCGTTGCGATGAGTCTCACTACATCCGTGTCAAATGAAAGTAGAAATTGGTAATATCGCGATATTCTTCAGGTCTTTTGCTATCCGCCGATAGTTCCGTAATTTCATGTAATAACAACGTTTAGTGACGATTTAGGTCAGTGCATCTCGAGATAAGTGGAACACGGAGAAATGTAACTGGTTGTATTAAACGAAAAAAAATTGTAAAGTTACAGAGGCCTAATTATTCGATATAATAGAGCGCTTTCTTTGGCGATGATCGTGATGTGACGAGGTATCGCGAATTATTGTAAATAAATTATTGACTATAATATTGTATATCGTATATTGTATATGTATATCGCGTACTTTGTAAATAAATAATGAAAAAAATGTTAACCCCCACCATATTGTAGACGATGATTCTGCGACGGTCACAGGGAATAATCCTGAATATGAAAATAATGCTAAATTTATGGGTAACGCTTAATTAGGTATATAAGTTCTAAATGAAAATATAATAATTTAATAGACATAAATTTCTCTAGTGATGATTAAAAATAATTTTGAATTGGAAAATTGAAATGAGGCAAAAATCGCATAAATGTTTATTTCATCAATATATGGAAACAAATTATACATTGTTACAATAATGCATTTATTCGCGATAATTATTAGAAATAATTCATATCATTAGTAATTCGATTTATAATATTATATATTAGTAGCTTGAGTTACTCACTGTTTGTACGATTAACAGCTTTTTTCATTGTAATGTATATTTTTCACTACAAATAATATTCTCTCTTTTTATTTCTAGCTATTAAATTATAAAATGTGTATTGCGTAAATGGAAAAATGTACAAAAAGGCAGGAGTATGAATGGAAGAACGAATTCAATGGCTGAAGATACAAGATGCTACACTCGGATGAAGCGCATGAATATTTAATATAAATCGACGTTACGCACAATCAATATTTTAACAAGAAAATTATCTTAATAACGCAAAACCCGTATGTGTATATAAGCGGTTTATTTCCAGGATAAATCGTATTTTTAATCAAGGGGTTTAATTCCGGAGAAAAATTTGCCTACCCACAAATTAAGAAAATTGTAGAAATCAAAATTTAAGGATGCATTCAAAAATACCGCACCCAGTAAGCACCGGCTAACAGTAACATTACATCAATGTTATAATTTCTCACTCAACAATATGAGTGCGATAGAACATGCATTATATATAACAATTATAATGCCGAATGGTAAATTATAACATTGTAGTAACGTTACTGTTGGTTAGTGTTTACTGAAGTATATTTGTGGGCTTTTCGCGTCAACTTCGATGTGAGTATGAACTAAAATGAAATTTATGATTTCCCGAAATATTCTCTGTTCCTTGTAAAAAATTGTAATAATCATAACTTATTATTATTTCTATTGCGTCCTAGATGACTTATTGTTTTAACGCTTGAATGTGATGGATTCCTCTTCTTTCTTAATGGCTCGTATAAGAGTCAATGTCAGTACAGCTAAGATTACCTGTAACACATATATAGATAATTAGCGTGAAAATAAGATAATTATAGGATAAAACTACATGAGACTCGATGAAATTACACACATGAGAAACATTGCGTTACAATAGAAATAAATGTCAAAATAATCATCCCATTCTTACGTGAAGCATGCACAATGACATTGCCAGGCCGGCAAGCCATCCCGATCTCGATTCCAAGGTCCAGGATAGTTCCTCGACGCAGCCGTGAAAGAAAGCGTTTCCGGTTACGGTATCCCGACACTCTGTGGGTAAGGGCTTCCGCATGGACAGATAATCTCTGGGACCGTCAGCTCCGCAGCATCCGACCTGTCGAAGATACAATATATGTCGCGGGAGTATGTAACTTAAATTCCGAAGTAAGAGCGCGCTTTTCTTTTCTTCGAAGACACAGAGATTATATTCTGGTTGTTACAAGGAAATTAACGCAGAATAAAATGATTTAACGACTTATTAAATCATTTTATTCAAAGATTACTTTTTTTTTTATAGAATAACTTATTTTCCTCGAGATCTTTTTTCTATTTCAATAGATTATCACGCGAGTCGCTACAATTGAATTATCACGGAACATGATTCGCGCTTTCTTACAGCTTCTTGAATTATTTTCAAGATATAGACGGCCGTTTCGTGATGGGAGTTTCTGATGAGATTGATCATGGACCGCCGTATGATGGGCTGAATCTTGCTGTCATACGTCGAATAGTCGAGAACAACCGCCGTTCCAGCAAGACCGCAGATGAAGCAGAACACTTGGAGACCCACGTCCTGAAATCACCGAGATCCTTGATCCTAAGATCGATTTCCAATGCATTCCCATTTTCGGGAAGCATTTTGTTTTCTAATCTAATTGCTAATCCAATTGCAAGGACAAACATCCTTACGATGTATAGAGACAAGATGCTTTCCATAAGAGCGGCGGCGCAGCCGACAAAGGCGATGATCATGATGAACACCGATATGAAGATCAGCACATAAACTCCGATGTAAAATTCATACATGTCCAGGAAGGTCACCCATTCCTCGAAGCCCGGCTCCATCCGCACCCATATCGACAGCCCGAACATCGCACTGCCCAGGATCTTCGTGACCAAGAGGTAAGATTGTGACTTATTATGTTTTAATTAGAGAGCGTTGACTGCTTTTTCTCTCAGATAGAAATTCTTTCGAACTTGTCCCTTAATTACGATAGTATGCAGCGATAAAATTATATCTTCAAAATTCATTTCATTACTGAAGAAACCTTTTCTTTAGGAATCGTTATTTTTGTACTTTAGAACTCAATGTAATTTGATTGAACAAATTTTCTATCAAATTTCGATCTCAGAAATTGTTTGAATGGAAGTTTGATATGTACAGCAATTATTTTCTTTAAAGCACTCATCTATACATTGCTCTTATTCATTCATTGCTTCATCAATTTTATACACCTATTTTCATTTTTTTTTTCAATTCACTTGAAATAGTATGAACTATCATTTCACTATCACAATTGGTTTCACTGGACAACGCAATCGCGATAAGTCATCGCACCCACCCATATTATGGCGTTGAGGCAGAAGATTGTGAATTTGATGACACTGATCTGCTTCTCCAGCAACGGTCCGGAACCTTTGGCCATGTCCTCGCGTCTTGCCGAATACTCCTTCGCGAAGTCACGTTTCACCACCGAACGAAATACTTTGGATGCACGACAATACACGTGAAGAAAATGTAATTCACCGATCAGGTACGTGGGCAGATACGCGAAGTATCGTCACCTACGTTCTCATTTTATCACCGGTAAATATAAGATAAGTGGATAAGCACGTTCTAGATAAAGAACACGCATCGCCGAAATGAATCACTTTCATGATATCAGGGGTGCGTTTGAAAGCCACAATTATTAATCTGTGCAAATCTGGCAAGCTTTTAATTAACGCCATGTAATAATTAATATCCTTTTTAAGAAGTTCTGAGATGTGAATGAAACAGATCAGCCAGCGGAGAACAATCTCTACTAGATACGATAACAATATTAGGGTCTTCAATTAACATTTCTCCCGCGATCGATTTTCTTGCGAAAATATAGTCGAGAATTTAAATAAAATTAAAAGATAAAAAAGTATCTATTTTATACGTTTCATTAAAGATTACTTCGCAAATCACGGACTTCAAAAATACTCGAATTTTTTAATTCCTAATTTTTTAAATTTCTTTTAATTTCTAAGTAAACTTTTCTAGTACAAACGAATCATCAATTGTATTACATTATATTTTTCGATGAATTATAAGGAAACGTTATTTTAATTTTACTTGGAAAATTTAACAATATATCTGTCTGATCACTTAATATAAATTGAAGAATTTCACAATTTCACAATTGTAGGATTGCATAATGCAATTTATTACTCAAACTTATTGATATATTATAAACTGTGACTTTCTTAAGACACTTTTGAAGAATAATTAACAAAGTATTAGACATTGATTATAGTCTTTCACTACACTTTCGCTAAGAACAGATCAATTTAAATTTCAAAATCTAATGTTCTCACAGGCGTAATTATATAACAGATCCGATATCATATATCGAAACGTTTTATTCGGCGTTTACAAAATCACTAGTTATAAAAGTTATATAGTTAGTTATAAAAATATATGACAAATTAATTCAGTGATTTAATGCGTATACAACGAAATAAGTAAAAGTAAACATCATATTAATAAAAATCTTCTTCTGCGGCTTTTGACGCCGATGTTTTATTCTTAATCTGTTCTTGGTTATTGTACATATCCGCCACTTGCTGAGCGGATGTGGCCTCCTCGCAAGACTTGTCCTCGCGGATCCTGATAAATCGTGGAAACCTCAGGGATATTCCTTTCTCCGGATCAACCTGCGCGATATAAGGATAAAATATGTTTAACAATTATAATATTTTACAATTATTAATGTCTACATATTCATTAGAATCGAGAGAGATGGAAGAATTGATCACGGCTTCTTTACCACAATATTTATTATTCGCAATAATATCGCAACATTTTCAAATGAATCCTTACGCATCGGTAAAGAAGAATTTCTCAAACTGAGAATATATAACAAAAAATTACTCATCAGAGAAACTTATTAAAAATATATTATTCTTACACGGCACATTTATTTGGCTGCGCTGAATTATGTCTTCATACTTGTGTCTTTTTTTTGTATTTCCTAATTGCTAAACTTACTTTTCCAATAGCCGCTCGGTGAACCGGCGAAAGAGAGAGATCGGCGCATTTAATCTCCCAAAGTTGAATCGGCTCGAACCAGTGATCCGGCTCATGGCTGTTGTCGAAACGGTAATACGATTTAGTCTGAGGTATCACGTGATCTTTGAAAAACTTCGTGTGCCTCTCGAGATCTTCCTCCTTGAAGCCAGTGCCGATCTATCGACGATAAAGCATCGTACATTTTAATACACGTAAGTAAGAAAATACATTGTTCACAAAGTATAATTCTTACGCTTAAAGTACTTTTATTTAATATACTATTTCATGAATTAAGTTCTTATTTGATTTAATGATTCACCTTGCAGATACTCTGATACTCCTCGTTTTCCTGATCGTAGCACGCCAAAAGGAAACCGCCGTAGGTACCGGTTCTTTTTCCTTTGCCGATGTAACCACCGATTACAACGACGTCGAGTGTATCACCAACGCCGTCCAAGTAATCCTTCTTAAGCTTCAACCAATTTCTCGATCGCTTTGCAATCTCGTAAGTTGCCTCTTCTTCTAGTGTTTTCACCATCAGGCCCTCGCAATTTCCTGTTGAAATGGCCGAATTACATTTTTTTTCTAATTTAATGCAAATCAGGTACATTGAGAACAGTAATTCAAGAAATATATATTTTTTTTCGCAAGTAATTGTGAGAAAATATTTGTTTCGGTTAATTTTCCCGCGACTATTAAACATTTTTAAATATTTTACCAACATATTTTGTCTATTTTTGCAGAATTCTTTCTCCGTAGATTCAAAAGTACAGGAAAATCGCAAGAACCTTTCACCGATTCGTCCAAGAAGATCTGCACCTCCTCCATCGTCGAAGTGTCCAGACTGGTGGCGAATTTCCATTCGCCTTCTATTTCGTTGAAGTGCTTCTTCAGCAATTCACGGCGTTTCGCGAAAGGTTCTTTCACCAATGGCTCACCGTTTAGGTACAGCAAATCGAACATAAACACGCACACCTGTACTTTGATGTCCTCCTCATTGGCGTCCTAATGAGGCAAAGATGCTCCGATAAGCAATTACAATTATAGAGCAATAGGCAATTATAACAAGTTTGAATAAGAACGTAATTGCGTTAAGAACTCTAATTAAGAGATTAAAACTAAAGTAATATGATTATCACAATTATTTGATTATTCACTTTTCGCTTTCTCGTGCTAAGTACTTGGAACGGCAGAATCTGTTTCTTCTCGTTGTCCCAGGCAACCGCCTCGCAGTCGAGTATGCAACTCTTCACCAATTCGTTGCGAGTATTCTTCAATCGGCCTATGATATCCGGATACTTACTAGTGTTGTTCTCTTGGTTTCTGCTGTAGATACTGACTTGACCGTCGTCCGCGACATGTATCTGCCGGATTTTTATATTCTTTAATATGTTAATTTCAACCTTAATATTTTAATCGCGAATACAATCAACGAATCCAATTGAACACCAACTTCACAAGTAAAAGCACCGAAAAATGTAAATGAGAACCTGTGCTCTCTCTCCGTCATATTTCCATTCGCACGTAAATTTCAAGCCTTCGAATCGCGTTAACACTTCTTGAACGCCTTTAGTAGGATGCGCCAGCATAGGTTTCAGAGGTATCCCAGGCGTGAGCTTGCATTTGCTCGGCAAGGTTTTTATTCCGTCCTCCAATAGCACGGGAATTATGAGATTGTAGTTCGGACATTCGCTGAAATATCCATTTTAACTCATTGAGAACTAAGAAACAATATTTTAGTTGAGATGTTCACATCAACCTTTCCCGATTCATCTTAACAAGTTCTATAAAGTACTTCCTACTTATATTCGCGTAATAATTAAATAGAGCTTTGACGTTTAAGTTAATTTATAAGCAACATCTTTAAGATAATCTTACCAATACGTTGTCTTCAATATGAGCGCTATCTCGTCGTACTTTTCTTTGAACCGTTCACTCGACATCTCTTTGCTCGCATTTACTATTTCTGGTGGGTAGGATTGTTCCGGCGGTGTCATCGCACAGGCTAAGGCTAACGCCTGTGGGAAGAAGCAGATTCTTAATAATGTTAGTCGAAACGCTGCATAAGTGACACGGATGACTTACTTGCAAGACAGACTGCTCAGCTAAACCGATACGAAGCTTCCCAGCCAGTGATCTGATCAGGTATTTCGCTTCGATATTGCGACAGGCCACGAACAATGTCTGGATTTTGTCCAGCTTTTTCGCCAGAGACTACAGGAAAAAGAAAATCTTTATTCGAGGGAAATATCAAGATTTCCCTAATTTTTGTTTCGACGCCCTACTTATAATTTCTCACTTTGATACATTTTATTTCTCTAATATTAATAATATCAAATTAAATTAAAGGAAGTTCGACTACCGAGTGCCCTGTCATTTGAGCTATCTCCTTTAACTTGGCATACACGTTGGGAACCGTCAACGGTGCCGGCTGAAACATGGTTCTCTGATTGGACCTACTACTTTCCGCTACCATTCCCAAATCACCGATTTGCTGGACATCGGCCTTAATTTGGGCGAGTGTTCTACCAGTACACTGCGCTATCGCTTTCATCAGATTCGTGTCGGCGACTCCCAGCTCGATACCTATGATACAACAAGAAACTATGTAACCAATACTGTATAAGTGAAGGTCTAAGTAACAGGAATAATTCAACTGATAATAATTCCGGAAACAAAAACTCTTTCTCTAGAATTATATTTTGAAGCCATAATGCGGCACATAGTTTCAATATTCACCTTCGTACGCTGGCGCCAATTGATTAAGGCACAGATACACGCTCGGCAAAAGATCCGTCGGGCTCAGAACTATAACGGAGCGGAAGTAGTTCGACAATATTTCTATTATCTTTAGCCGCGCGCTTGTTTTCTCGATAAGCTCCAAAGTGCGCGTAAATGCACTGTACGGAGTTCTACGAACAAATTTGGAAGAATTTTACTTATTCCTAGAATTTTATAAAATTACACCGATTTTCAGTATATTACTCAATCTTTCTCAACAATTAATTCCAGTTGACTTACTTGTCTCCTCGTTTCCAACATGCATCGTTTATCGGATGATAACGGGACACGCTGGGATTGTAAGACTGGTTGCCGCTTTTTCCATTGCTCGCTTTGTCAGCTTTTGTATCTTCCTTTTGCTTAACTGTGAAAGTAACATTGACTTTTTATAATTATTTGAAATAAGAGCATGAATCTTATAAGTTAATTTGTGGTAAGTGATTGAAGTACTATAGATAAAGATTTTTGGAAAAACTTACTTGGTGAAACAGATTTCTCTTTTTCCTCTTTCTCTTCAACATTACCATTTTTAGTAGAAATATCTTGCTTAGTTTCAGCTCCATTTACTTTTTCATCTTTCTCCTCTTTTTTCTTAGTACCAGATATATCTTTCAATATTTTTCCCTTTGCCTTCTTTGACTTTCCAGGTGAAATTTTATTTTTCTTTTCCGAAGTGGGCCCTTGAAACATAATTATAAAAATATATTGCACATTTCTAATGCATACATATGAAACTGATGATTCAGTAATATAATTATTTACCTGGCTTCGCACGGGACTTTGCAGATGGTGAAGGGGTTTTGGAAGCTGGTTTTGGTTCTTTGAGTTTAATACCTAGCTTCTTTGAAGGAGGAGGAGAGCTAAAAAAAAGTAAAAGTTCATAAGAAAATAATACTAACAAAAAAAAATAGAAGGTAAAAAGAATTAATATAATATCCTTACTATAAATGAAGATAATCATACATATTAAATTAAAAATCATTAATTACTGGTTAGGTATTAATCACCTGGAAGATCTATCGTCAGTGTCCCTCTTGCGTTTGCCACTTGCTGATGCATCCTCATCCTCCTGTTTGTCGGACAAGTTGCTGTTGGTTGCATGTATCCGATTAAAAACAACAACAAATTGGTTGCGAGCTGCAAGCTCGAGACGTCGAGCTGGTAGAACTAAGGAGCTCAAACGCGAGCATATCACAAGGGTTCTTAACATATTTCACTAATAGAGAGAGCGACTATTACTTGATGGCATGAAACATACCTTTCTGAATTCACCTGAGACAAGTTTTCCTTCTTGGATGATATTCTAGTGAAAAAAGAACTGAGACAACAAAGCAAATTAATGTCATGTCGAATAAAATTTTCAAGGATATTTATTAACTTTGTCATGTCAGTGTTTGAATTACGTGTTAAGCTGTTGCGATTACTAACAGATTACTGTTGAGATATTAACCGAATTATCCTTTTCAGTCAATCACAGCAGCGAATTACTTACTCTATACTGCGCTGCGACATTATTGCTCGGATTCTACACACGTTCGAGAAATTTTCCGCGCCCTGAGGCGCGCCTTTGACGATAGAAAACAACAAGATCTGTCACAACGGATCTGTAACCACCGATGAAGTATTAGTAGACAACCAACTTTACGAAAAGCTTGGTTGTTCCTTAACGCCCTCTCAGGGGCGTTCTAGAATCCTATTCAAGATAGAGTACCATTAAATTGACCAATCAAAACAAAATATTTCTTTATCATGATTAGCTAATATTTTCCGCTGAGCGCAGCCATATTACCAATTTTTAAAAAATTTTTCAGATTTTCCAGCTATGTCGTTATTAATATAAAAAAAATATATATATACACATTTTATTTGTGCATATATATACCGAAAATATACTCCTAATAAACAAGGAACATTAAATTAATGTTTAGCAATGTTGATATAATCTCAATTGATGATATAAATGACTTGATATGATTGTATTTTTTTATCGTTTTTTAATAATATTATATACACATTTTAAAACTCCTGGATATGCACTACACACGCATTACATAACAATTACATTCTTATGTAAGAAATTATAACTAACAATTATGTGATTGCAACTTAGTTTTTGCTCGGTACATCGTTTTTTTCCTAATTTACTTCATATATTTGTATCTATATTAGTGTTATATAATGCACATTTTATTGGTAGTGAGATGACCATTGTCTTCATCATAACTTTAAAAGATAACTCTTAATGATAACTCGTTCGAAATGTAAAGAGATCCTGAACAAACGATTTTTCCAGCAACGCGTAAAATTCAAGAAACAGAGCTCGCGAAACATCGTCATTGACGGAGAGACATGTCTTTCAAAAATCTAAAATTCGAAATATTGAATGATGAGAAGACGGCTGAAATGTTAAAGTATTACCCGTATTACCTGCGCGGACTTGTTCTAGTAGGCGAGAAAAAGTGGTGTTTACCGCCCCAATTTCTCACAGCAGGCGAAGAAGTGTACAATTTTGAACCTCGTCCGGGCGATACCTATCTTATTACTTTTCCTAGGTCAGGTAAATAGATCATCCTTATTTTATAAGAAAAATATTCGATTTAGTAGTCCTAATCATTCTTGTGTGATCCTGTTTTCTTTTCTTTTAAACAAAGTTTAATCCTACGTTTATCAATTAACTTATTTATTATTGTTATATGCCTGTCAAGGTACGACGCTGACACAGGAACTCGTCTAGTTGGTGGCAAATGACATGAACTTTGATGAAGCGGGTCGTAGACATCTAATAGACAGATTTCCCAATTTAAAGTATGGGTTTAACGTATAATAATCATACGTGCAGAAGCGAAGTTTATATCTTCCGGGTTTCGAAATTTATAATAAACCCCTGATGAAAAACATTTTTTCCTTTCGCACGCAATTTAAAACGAATCGCGTGAATTTCTCTCGTATTTTTCTCCTTTGATAAGGCAAGAACTAAATGAGAAATTTAACTAACAGGAGGTAGTTCTTCTTCGCTTCTGTACCCATTCCTTAAGCAAGATATATCGGTTTTTTTCGAATTGAATGTAATGCTTCATTATAAAACAGTAATCTCTTTAGGTTATGTGCAGTAATAGAGGATGAAGCGTGAGCGGCAACGACCAATGTACAGCGGTGGAAGAACAGCATAAAGATCGCACAAAAACTACCCTTCCCACGTTTCATCAAATCCCACATACCGCTCGATCTACTGCCCAAAGTCGTAAACAGCGATTGTAAGGTATGTCTGTAATAACCATAGAGATATAAGAATAGAGGGAACAAGCCTGTAAGTGAAGTGATAGAGGCAAAGAGAGAGATGGATGCCGAGTGTCCTATCTGTCTCTTTCTAGTTGAGCGCTGTGATTGGTTGTTACAATGAGCCGCCAAGACGACCACGCGACGTCAGGAGGGGAGAAAGCAGACTAAAATTTCGTTTTGTAAATATGCGTGCACATGTGTGTAGAATTAAAATTCGTTAAATATTCGAACGTTAACAAAATAATAATTGGACACGATTTGTTTAAAAATGAAGCATTGTTTGAAATGCAAGGCGGAGTCTTATCCTGGATGTAACAGCAGTTTTCACTCGTAAGAAAGTACAAATACGTAACCTCAAATAATTATATGTTATTTTTT